AATGGTGTTTAAAATGGATATTTTAAAAGGGGGAAGAAATGATTTTAAAATAAGTGGATGTTTAAGTATATTTAAATGGGTGTTTTGGGGTATTAAAATTGGTAAAAATTTAGTTTTTTGAGTAGGGTCTATTAGTTGGAGCGGGTTGGGGTGGTTGTTATGAGTAGGGAGGGGTATTGGATGATTGTGTAAATTGTTTGGATGGTGTTGTGGTAGGGGGTGGGGAGGGGGTAGATGGAGTTTAGGAATGGGTAGGGTTGGGATGGTGATGGTTGGGAGGGGGGGGGGGGGTGGTAGTAGATGTATATGGATTGGGTGGTGGAGGGAATGGGAGGGGGGGAGATCAACAGTTTGGAGATTAGAGCTTGGACGAAGCCGGAGGGTTGTTGGGTAGTCGCTTCGGTTATTCGTTCGAATCGCTCGATGAGGGCGGGTTGGGCGGTTATCCAGCCCAGACGGCAGCCTGGGGCTACTGTTTTTGAGAAGGTGTCTAGGCGGACGACACGGCCGTCGGTGTCGAGGGGGGTGAAGGATGGGGTTAGGGAGTCGAGGAAGGGGAAGCCGGAGGATGGAGTGGTGACTGTGGAAAGGGAGGAGCGAGGAGGGGGAGGCAGGCCACGGGATTCGGCCTCGAGAGAGCTCGCTTCGGGGAATTGGAGGTACCAGTAGGGCTCATCTTCGATGATTATCACGTCATATTTGCTGCAGATGGCGTAGATTTCCTTCTTGCGCTCGACCGAGAGGAGGATACCGGTTGGGTTGTGGCCTAGGGTGACGGTATACATCAAGTGAGGGCGTTTCCCCTTGCTGCTGTCCCAGTTCGCGAGGACGTCTTCTAACCCCCCTGGGCCAGAGACTGCCATCCCGGATTCGTCGGTTTTGACGGGCACCATTTGGACGCCGAGGGGGGTGGCTTGGTTGGTGATGTTGGTGTAGACGTAGGTTTCGCAGAGAAGGCCGGGACGGGATGAGATGGGGTCAGTGGTTCTCCAGGGGGTGACGAAGAGGTTGAGGGCTTTGGCAAACCCGTCAGTTGAGCCGCAGGTGAGGACTACTTCGGGGCCACCTTTGTAGGGGACGCCGGGGTGGAGGTGGTCGCGGGTGAACTGTCTGATCCAGCCGAGGAGGGGGGGGTAGCCTTGGGCCATGCCGTACTGCAGGGCGGTGGCTAGGTCGATCTTTTGGAGGAGGTCCTTCTGAGTGGAATCATCATGGGGGATGGTGATGTGGTTTGGTGCTGAAGGGTTTGATGACCCGGAGGAAGGAGACCATCTCTCAGGTTTGGCTGCCTGTGCCTCCAAGGTGTCGTAGGGGAAGAACTGGGCATTGGGGAGACCTGGCGGTGCAGTTGAGTATCACGATTATTACAAGAAGAGACATGATAGAATACATACCACCAGCAATGTTCAGAATGCCAGGTATCTGGAAGAACTTGTAGATTGCCTTGATCTTACTGGCATTCCGGCTTTTAGTGGTGTCAGAGTAGTGGTGGGTGAAATCGAGAGGCAGTGGCTTATCATCGTCGTCACTTAGACCGCCAGCACCTTGACGGCTATCGTCACGATAAGACAACGACGCCATTGCAACAGTTCAACAAGATCGATGAACAACTACCGGTTCAGTAAGATGAGAAGATGAGAACGGTTATGAGCAAGATGAAATCTTATCAGAGACTGATAATTGGAGAAGGCACGAAGGATTCAACCAAGTCTGGTTCAATAATCGATAATATGCTTACAAATAAACCACGATTAGCCACATCAGATCAAGCAATGCGATGCGACTTTGTCCCTTTCTCGGGATCGGGAACGCCTCTTCCAGCGCCCCAACGCGCTGTTGTAACCCCTGCCGGGCACACCTCCGGGGCTACCGCTTCGGCGGAAAACTCACTGTGGGGTTTGGTCGCAGGGGTCGGATGAGAGAGGCGGGGAATATCTATGCCAGAGCCCGCCCCCAAATGCTCTTTCTAACTTCCGGCTATTATCTACCGATCATGGTGATGATATTTATTTTGATGGTGTTCTGAATCGCCATCCGGCTTTTGCGTTGCACTTCGGTGTCTGACCCGGTCCCACTGAATCGGCGACCGGTTAGATTTGAGAAAGGGCGTGCTGAGTGAGACATTCGGGGCGGGGCCGTGTCTCAAAGCAACAACGGCCCCGAGTCATCTTTCTGCTCCGGCTCATAGTCAAAACCGAGCTCTTTGAGAGTTTTTGCCTTGCGACCCTCCAATTCAAACCTTAATTTGGCCTTCATGTGGATGGTTCTCTGCCAGCACTGCTCCTCGTCCCATCGAGGTGGCTCCTTGCCTGGAATGCCGGCTTCGGTGATCCAGTCATAGACCGAGTTGATGTACTCTGAATCTGCGCCCACCGGCCAGACGTGATACTTGGAACCTTTCTTTTCAGCTTCCTCGTCCTCCCAACGTTTCATATCATCCACTGATGGTAAGGGCAGCAGGTTCGCCCACACCCGTGAGAAGGTGGCTGCTTGACTTTGTGAGACGGGGAATGGTACCACCTTTATAGGCAGTCCTGGGAACACCAATGTTGGGTGTTCAATGTGAAAGAGATGTTTATAGAGCCCCCTGACTCGACGCCCATCCGTCACCAACGGTGGTTGTAGTGAGGTGAGAAAGGGGAAGGAGTAGAGGTAGCCCGTTGCGAAGACGATGGCATCAATGTCCTTCTCAACCCTGCCCTCTTTGAATCGGACAGCTCTGTCTGCCACGAGAAACTCTTCAATTTCTGGGACTTCCTCGGCCCCGGTCCATTCAAGGTTGGCCTCTGGGGTTGGTGTCCGCACCGATAAGAGTAATGGTTGTTGCGAGACTTGGCTGATTTGCGAGGCAATATCCAAGCCCGAGGCAGCGTTGCCCACCACGATGACCTTTTTGTTCCTGAATGGTTCGGGAGTGCGGTAGTATTTGGAGTGAGAAATTATATCGGGGTGTGTGCTGTTGAACTCGGATATCCCCTTCATGTCGGGGATATAAATGATAGAATAATGACCAGATGCGACAACAACAGCATCATATGTTGCGGTCGTAAGCTCGCCCGTTCGTAGCGATAACACATCCACGTCCCACTGATCCTTTCCCTTGGCATCTGTTCTCAGACGAACATCTTTGACCTCGGTAGAGAAACTGATGAGGTGCCTTATGTCCTGGGAGTACTGAACCAGATAGTCCTGTACGTCATCGCGAGAGGGGAAGATGAGGAGATCATCTGAGAAAGGAAAGTCCGTAAAAGGCATTAAACCTCGTGGAATGTTTGTGTGTAGTAGTTTGTACATGGGCGAGGGAAAAACTGGTCCCTTATCATCATTGCCATCTCCAGGCTCCAAAGGGGGGTCTGGCGGGCATTCGGGGTTCACTTGGGGCACACGACGGTTCTCCGCCGGCTTTGCGCTATACTTCCAGACGCCTCCAACTTCTGATTGCTGCTCATAGATATCGATCTTTTCAAAGGCTTTTTGGGCCACCAAATACTTGGCCGCAGCAAGACCGCATGGGCCAGCGCCGATGATTGCGATTCTGTGAATACCGAATGGTGCTTGGCCTAATACTGTTTCGAAGCCCATGTTGGAGAGGATCTGTGGCTCAGAAGTCGGATAGGATAGATAGACGGAATCTTCGGCGTCAAAAGATTCTTGAAAACAAAGTATACAAACTTGAGGGAAAAAGAGAGGTGGTTGTCAGTCGAACCCATTCATTGACTGATCATCAAGTCGTTACCATTGCATACACCGATTACGTGCTTCGAATACGAAATTACAGGCTGGCCCAAGCTCCCGAAACTGCCAAGGCTCTCAAGATGACACCGCCTTCCGTTTTCAGGCGGTGGAGCATGCCTCAGCTGCAAGCTCCCAGGCAGGACCCACTGTAAAGCTTCTCCAAGCCTGGAACCTACCAATGGAAACGTCACTGGTTTCCCGCTGCCGTCATTCGCGCGACAGAACCTCAAGAAAGTTGAAGGAGCTCTCCCAAAGAGCAACTCAACCCAAGAGGAGCAGCTTTGTGAGGCTGCACAACTTGCCTCTGTTCATCAACCGTCGCCAAAACATTGTAACTTCTTTACATGTCTCCCCGTACCTCCTGGCTTACCCGGAAATGACACGCTCTCAGTAATTTGAACCCGACCGCGTTCACATCATCGACACAGCGCCCTATCCAACATGGAGATGGCTGAAGACGGAAACGTCGCTGCGCTTTTGGCGACCAAACTCGCAACACCCATTGCCCAGCTTGGCCCCGATTTGCCAGATCAACCATCGCGAACCGTGCGAGGCGAAGTTGGCATTACCTGGCCCTACAACTCGGTCACCGAGACCTTTGCTTTCTTGCTGGCAGAGCCCGATGTACGACTGCGTCGTGCTCGAGGTCAAGTTCGCATCGAGCTCCATGGTCCCAGCGCAAGGATTCTTTCAAAATGTGGTCTAGGAGCCGGTGATGAGCTACTCTTCTCTCTAGAGGAAGTAACATGGACAAAGGACACATCGCCAGGCGGCATCCCTGGCTCCAGAGTGGAATGGCAATTGCAGTTCGACGAGAAGTTTGTCTTGCAGGTGCGGTCATGACGCTTGCTCGCCGATTCACAACCCATCTAACAGCTTTCTATAGATAAAATCTGGCGAAACAAACCAGCTCAGACACTTGAACATCGACCATCCCGAACTCGAGACCGAGGCCTCGCCTCGACCCCCGGCTCCGCTTGCGACAGCACCTCGACTGTCGACACCTGAGCCCGAAGAACCACCCGAACACGTCCCTACAATCCGCAAATTTTTCGAAGTTGCCGAGAACGAATATGCATCCCCAGCACTCATCAAACGGCAGCGACTGTCGTACGGTGCGCTGTTCGAGGATGGGTTTGACCCTTTCGAGGAAGACGGAGGAGTCAAGGGCAAGGGTCGCAAACGAACTCGGTTTGGCCGCGACAGCAGTGCGTGGCGCTATACCAGCCAGTCACCTAGCCCTGAACCTCAGTCACCGGCTGAGGAGTCTATGGACGAAGATGTGACCGAGAAAACGTCCCCGCAGCTTTCGCCACAAAAGGTAATGCTGGATGAGGGAGTCCAGACAGTCGATATTGAAATGACCGAGCCCACGGACGAGGCGGTGCAAACTGAACCGGTGCAAACAGAGCCAGTACAGCCCGAGTCAACACGGGTCGAGGCAGCGCAAACGGAGCCGATGGAGACGGAGCCGGTACGGACAAAGCCAGTGCAGACACCCCCAGTGCGTACAGAGAGCGCCATGGACGTGCTTAGCCAAGCAGCGCTTGCTCATGCGCAGCAGGCACAGAAGTCTCCGGCTTCCGAGGAGCATCCCAGGCTTGCCCGAGCGCAGCAGGAGAAAAGGTCACCTGTTGCTCAGGAGCAGCCAGCTCTCACAATGCCAGAATTGCCCCCTGCTACCCCCCAACATGACCAGGCTTCTGGAAAGCCCACTGAAAGCCGATCCGGTCCCCCGGCTGCCAATGCCAACACGGACATGCCCAAACTTGATACCGCCCAAAAGCCTGCTACGGATACGTTTGCTAGTAGCTCACTTTTTGGCACCCCCAAGACTCCTGGTTTCTCCATGTTTGGCACTGGCCCGCCCGCCCGGATCCAATCACCTTCAAGCATAGCAGACCAAGTTAGATTCGCGGTTTTCTCACATTCCACATACCGCACCCCCTCCGGATGCTCACGATCAACATTTCCATGGGGCCACTGGCTTTGATAAGAACGAGGCATATCCTGATTCGTATCTTGATGACGCGCCGTCTGATGTGCATATCAACAACTATTTTGCGTCGGCCGACACTCAAGATCTGCCCATTCAACAGCCCCCCATGGCGGAGAACTTTGATAACAATCAGTGGACGGTTACTACAGAGTCCCCGCGCTATAACCAAACCGAGGGCGGCCACTTTGGTGATGACGCTCTGGAGGAGGGCACCCGGATGCCTCCTGGCGATGCGGCTCTCCACGCTGCTCATGTTACTCCTAACGCATTGCCGGATGGGTTTGCTAGCTATGGGAATGGCGGGTTGCAAGGCCAGTTTGCGGATGGTGGACTTGCTACTCAGGAAGCTCGTGGCTATGGAGAGGGTGATGACTCACTTGAGGAAGACGCCGTTGGTGTAGACGATGAGGAGGATCAGGATGCCGTCCAAGATGAGTACGCGTATGGTGAGCCCATCGAAGAAGGCGATTACGACCAGCGAAACTACGTTGAGCCCTCGGATGATGATGAGGGTCTATCTGAGCAGGAAGAGGAGGTTCATCAGGAGATTGTTGATCGGTATGGTGATGCTGGGGTGTTGGATGAGTCGGAGTTTAAGGGATTCAATGATTTGTCTGAGGACCAGGAGGAGGACGATGAAGAGGAGTATGATGATGAGGAGGAGGGGGATGAGTATGATGATTATGAGGAGGCTCCGGCGGCTAAGCCAGTTTATACTGGGAGGGTGCTGCCACAGGCGAATCCGAAGGGGCCGATGGTGATTAGCTTGCTTTCGGACTCTGAGGATGATGACGTGCCTATGCCTGCGCCCAAGGCACCTCCGGCTGCTGAACCGACGCAGGAGACTCGTAAGAGCCCGGGGATTGGTTCTGATCAGGTTGATCCGGGTCTTTCTGAGGAGGTTGAGGAATCTGAGGAAGCTAAGGCATCTGAAGCAGCTAAGGACTCTGAAGAGGACGAGGTGGGATCTGAGGAGGAGGATCGGGAGCTTGAGGAGGATGTCTATGATTCTGAGGAGGAGATGCCGGATGCTGAAGAGGAGGTCTCGGAGGTTGGAGGGGCTGGAGTGATGTATGAATCAGCATCTGAAGACGAAGTTGGAGACCTCAAGGTGGAGGAAGCTTCTGTTGGAGATGAAGATGAAGATGAAGACGAAGCTGAAGACCACACGGCGGAAGAGGCTTCCGACGAAGATGAAGAGCCTGAAGAGGAAACCTCGGGCCGTGGAGGTGAAGCGCCACAACCAAGGGATGGGGCTTCAGCCAGAGATGAGGCTTCGGATGACGAGCATGAGGCTACAGCGCTCAAGGGTGAGGTTTCGAAGCCCAAGGAAGCAGCCAACGAGGCCGAAGACGAGGCCCCTGCGGTTGCTGGTGGCCAGACCCATGTGGTTGACTTTGCTGTTCACCAAGCTGATGGGCACGACGAGCAAGCACGCGCACCCGCTGATGAGCATGCCGACAAGGAAGATTCCTTTGTCATGTCGGCACCTGAAGACACGGATGAGGTGTCTGGTTCCGAGTCTGAACTTGAGATTGAACCGCCCAAGGTTGCTGCTGTTTCAGAGTCGGAGGATAAGGCATCCGAGGCTGAACCGGTGGCCGCCTCTCCCGAGAAGGCTGCCGCTTCAGAGTCGGAAGATAAGGAATCTGAGGCCGAAGAGCCGGCTGCTACTGCTACAAACGAAGCTGAGGGGGTTGAACCAAAGGTCGACCAGTCAGATGCCGCAGCCAAATCGGAACTTGAGCGGCCAGATGTCACTGCTGCCGAGTCGGCCGGCCAATTCGACGTTGATAATGAATCCGAGCATGAACACGATGCTGATTATATCCCTTCGGAAGATGAGAATGACGAAATTGACATGGCTGACGATGTGCCCCCCGGGGACTTCGACAGAGAACTCGAGGATTTCTATGACGACATGGTACTGGAACAACTCGAACAAGAGCAGGCTAACCAGCGTATGGCGTCCGAGTCGGCAGATGACAAGATGTCACTTGCGAGTCAAGTCGAGGCCGATGACGACGAGATGGATGTCGAAGACGACCACGAAAAAGCCAGCACGGCCGAACCCATGTCGGTGGTTGACGATGACGTCGATGTGGATATGCTTGATGCGGGAACGCCGCATTTCGAGTCGCCTATGGAAGCAGAGACGCCACGAGCAGAGGTCGAGTCTAGCATGATCATTACCGAGGTGGTTGAGGAGGTTGTTGAGGAGACTGTTATCATGGAGGTGACAACTGAGATTCTTGTAGAGGATGCTGCTATGGAGCAGGAAGCGACTGAGGAAGCACAGGAAGAGGTGTTGGAGGACACACAGCAGCAAGAGGACACGGATGCTGTCGAGGAAGTTCATCTGGAGCCTGTTAAGGAGGCAGAGGGAGAAGTCCCGGTGCCTGTTGTCGACGAGGAGAAGCCAGCAGTGGTGTCTCTGGAGCCGGTCGAGGGTGCAACTGCACCAGCCAACAATGAAGCAATGGGAAAAGAAGTCCCTGCCTCGCCTCCTCTCACCAACTCTTTTGCATCTCAGAAGAAACTGTCGCCATTTGCCCAAGGGTTTCAGGAAGCAATGCGGGAGACAGAGCTGCCCCCAACCCCTCTGCAGAGCATGGTGCAAGCGGAGCCTGAGGATCACGATGCCGAGGAGGAACAAGAAACCCAGCAGGCTGACGTGGGTGTTGTTCTAGAGCAGCCAGGCAAGAACAACAGTGCTGGCTCGCCAGATTTAAGCTTCAACGCGGGCGAGTCTGATGCGGAAGAAGTCGCGTCAGTCCCGAGTGCGCCTGTTCGGAAGGCTGCAGCGACGCGTGCAAGCAAACGGAATAAGAACAAGAAAAAGGCAGTCAGAGGCAAGAGCGCACAATTAGAGCTTTCCGAGCCGCCCACGCAAACCAGAGCTGTTTGTAAGAGCGCCGAGGAAGAAATCACGGTCCAGACGCCATCCTCTCAAGAGCACATGTCACCGCAACCCGAAATGGCAGCGTCATCATCCTCCTCGCCAGATGTGAGCGTCAAGCTCGCCCAGCAGTCGGTAGCAGCGCGACGGAGCAAGAGAGGGCAGCCACAGCCACAGGAGCCGCAGCCAACACGAATTAGCCCGCGACTTGCGAGGAGGCGGTCGAACAGCTTACAGTCGAGCAACCAGGACGCCGAGGAAGAGCCCAAGGGGTCTTTTAACTTGCCCTCCAACCGGGATCTCAGCGTTTTATTGGCGAGAGGCGCGCTGGCCTCGCCATCCAAGGGAGATGTCAGCGTCGGCCTCGCAAAGGATGCGCTGAATTCTCCGTCCAAAACCAAGTCAGCTTCCCCTCTGGTCGACGACAACAACACCAGCACCGCCGCCTTGAAGGCCGACCTGACCAAGCGCCTCCGCCAGGAATTCCCCGACTGCATCAACTTGACCTCACTGAAATACCACGTGGACGAGCACCCCGTCGTCGCCGCGATTGTCACCTCTGAACCCACCACGCCTGTCCGCGCCAAGAAGGGACCGAGGGAATACGTCATGTCGTTTCACATTACCGACCCGTCGATCGCGCCGGGTAGTGTTGTGGAGGTGCAGCTGTACCGACCGCACAAGGAGTCACTGCCTGTTGTCAGGGTGGGGGATGCGGTTTTGCTGCAGAGGCTGCAGGTCAAGTCGATTAGCAAGAAGGGGTTTGGGCTGAGGTCGGGGGAGGAGTCGAGCTGGGCGGTGTTTGATGCTGATGAGGGGGCGCCGCAGGTTAAGGGGGCGCCGGTGGAGGGTTGGGAGGGTTATAGGGGGTATATGACTGGTTTGAGGGGGTGGTGGAGGAGTTTGGATTCGGGTGCTAGGGGGAGGGTGGAGAGGGCGGATAGGAAGATGAGGGAGGCTAAGTAGGAGTTCTCGTTGAGTTGAGGGGTTGGGTTTTGGGGGGGTTATGTTTGTGGAGTCTGGACTTATTCTATGGAGGGAGGGGAATATGCATCTGTTTTGTTTTTTTTAAGGGGGGGAGGGCGGGAGTGGTAATGGACATTGAGGAATCATGGTTCACGGGGAGTTATTTTTCATGATTATGGGTACCTCCGAGGAAGACGGAGAGATCAACAGGCAAAAAAAACAAAACCAGCAAAGTTTGTATGCATGTATGATAGTGATTGACTTTGGTCGGTAGCCACAGTTTATGTACGGACCCTTGAGCAAGACAGCGTTTTTTTTTGGTCCCAATCAGACAAAACAAGGTTGGGAAGAGGGTGGGTGGGAGTGAGATTTGATTGGGTGTGTGCAACGCAGGATGTGCAAGCATGGGGGGGGGATGCGGCTAGATGCGTGTAAGTGGTCACCTTTTGTCTGCATGTGTCTAGTCGGATGTGAGTAGTTTTCGTGTGAGTAAGGGGGGTTGAAGCCGGGGAGGTTTTGGCGGGGAGGTGGTTGTGTAGCGAGACATTTGTGGGAGTATAAGACAAGGAGGTCTCGAAGTCGAGGGAGGAGTTTGTCACACAACCATATCCTACCAACACATCATCCATCCTTTTCTTCCAGCAGCATATCTCTACATTTCAACCATCCATCTCACACCACCAGCGTTCGGCGTATCATTAAAAATGACCACCCACCACAGCCACCACAATATTCAAATTTACCACATTGTCTTCAACAACAGCATACGACGACAACCACCACCACCACCACCCCCCTTCCTCCTCCGATGACAACCCCCCCTCTCTTACGATCTAACCCCCCCTCCTAACCCGGGAACGACTCACTTGCCTACTTCACACAAGAAGTCCGCCGCCTCTCCTCCCATCTTCATTCCGCCCACGGCCGCCGGAAGGCCACTTTCCCGTCTCCTCATTCGGTCATACACGGGACCTCTCAGCACTGCTGACTCGCGAGATTGGGGGTGTGCACTGCCGCATATTGCATTC